GAAAAAGTCTCAAAAAAACTGCAGCCCAAGCCAAGCGAGGCCAAGACACTATCCAAAGATGAAAAAGATTATCATGGCTAAATAGCAGAATATATCAAGGAAATAATGGCCTATTAGTCATTGAGGGGTTTTTTTTAAATCATTTAATGTGTATTCAGCTATCTAGCTATGACACATAATCGGTGCTATGTATACATGTGGGATGACTCTTTTGACGTTAGAGACACTCATACTCTGGATTTCATTCGCAAATACCACTACGAGGTATGCTTGCTTACACAAACAGTCGACCCTCCTCCGTTAGTACCCACCAAAGTGGATTCCGAAACCTTTGATTATCCAAGCATGCCTTCGTCATCCATGCATACCAGCGCCGCGAGAAAGGTGGTTGTGTTTTGCTGGATTTGAACCAGCGATCTACTGTCTCGAGTGGGATATGTCCAAGCTATCCAGACTGTACTTGGCAGACCAGCCAAGACGATGTACCACCGCACCATCCAACCATGGCGATGCTTATAGTGTCGCCTGCACTCTCGCAAGCAAAGTCTTGGCACGCACAAATCTCAATTTGTAAAATCTCCTTGCCAAAATTCGAAATTTCACGCCAGTCGAGATTGTATCCATCCCCTGCATCATCTTATCAACTTGTCCTGATACCTCTCACGTCCATCCCAAGGAACTGTCTTCCAGATTTGTGCGCCACGCTTTGTTTCCTCCGTCGGGTATAAGTATCGGCGTGGGCATGTATCTGGCGACCAGCTAAGGCCAGAGAAAGTCGACAAGAGGTATGGTCATTGAAACAAGGATGTACTATGTCGTACTTGTAGACTTGATGAAGCTTAGTTGAGAACCGGACTCTTTGGGAGTGAAAGTTTGACATGGAGTAATTTGAATCATTGCCTCGTGGGCCAACTTGTTCGGTATTGCGAAATTTGACTGAACTTGGCTCTGGGAGAATATTTCACTCCCAGGTTCGTCGAGGACACCGCGTACAGATGTTGAGTCTTGTCCTCCAGTCATTGAGTTTGTAGGGCGCATTGAGTCAAGTTTTTTTTTTGATTTTTGGTCCTAAGCTAAGCTCTATATCTCCTAGGAGTCAAGAACCGGCGTACACGGCCGAGATCATGCTTCCCACATGCCCGACTCGGTCTCACCGCGTGAACCACTATACAACCGTTAGCTAGTTAAAAATAAAAATAAAAACACCCATAAATTCCCTTTAACAAAAAATTCCAAATGCAATACTCCAATTTGAGGTGGGAAAGCAACACTTCTCGTCTCGTTTTCCTTCCTGCCATGCTTCGTGCTATGACCTAATTAATGTCCTCTCCGCTGAGAGCTGGAGACGGACTCGCAGGTTGGCCTCCGAAGCAGCCGGTTTCCTGCACAAAATATGTGAAATTCTCAAGGCACCTAGGCCCGAGAAGCTTTTGGACAAAGTCGTGATGTGACGTTGTCCCTCGAAGTCGACGCGTTTGGCGTGCGTGCAGTCGACAGTGAATAAAGTGGAGAGGCGATGTTTCCTCTCCACACGCACACTCCATTGAAGCGGCGATGTTATTGAAACGACGATGGCATGCAGTGAAGTTTCCGTGTCCCGTACGAGCTGAAATCAGTTTACGAAGTAGCCGCCGAGAAAGTGCCAGCTCGCGTGGCTTGCTTCGTCGCATGAGAAGGCCCAGATTACGATATCTAGGTGGACATGCTTCTTCCCACCAGTCGTCAAGAAGCGTTTGCCTGTTCCGGTTCATGAGCCGCCGAACGTACACCAACGTGACGGAGCCAGGCTGGCTCTCTTTACTTGGCAGTTCTATCGGCTTCCTCGTTTCCCTGTATCCCGGAGTGGGCTGGTATCCACTGAACCGAGACTCGAGCCTTTTCTGATAACGCTTTAAATTTTCGCACTTCGTCGAGACTTGTTGTGGCAGTTCCCGTCAGCAGTGCCTTCACTGCAGACTGACTATCCGACAACACGTTGATCCGCCGCCTTCTGTTAATTCCACTGTTCTCCCTCTCCAACAATCCCAGCGCAGCCTCCAGGGCCTTTGTGTGATGGGCTGTGCCCGGATTGGGACTAGTCACTAGGACCACTCCGTCTCCAAGGTAAGGTAATGGCAAAGCAACGCTCTTGGATAGACGAAAGGGGGCTCTAAGGGGGTACGTACCAGATGGAGGAGTACGATGTAGGAGAAGGAGTGCAAGACTGAACACCTGTACGCGGTGTCCTCTACGAACCTGGGAGTGAAATATTCTCCCAGAGCCAAGTTCAGTCAAATTTCGCAATATCAAAGAAGTTGGCCCACGAGGCAAAATTTCAAATTACTCCACCACGTCAATCTTTCATTCCCAAAGAGTCCGATTCTCAACTAAGCTTCATCAAGTCTACAAGTACGACATAGTACATCCTCACCCCAATGATCACACCTCTAGTCGACCTTCGCTGGTCTCAGTTGACCACCAAATACACGCCCACGCCGATATTTATACCCGCCGGAGGAAGCAAAGCGTGGCGCACAAATCTGGGAGACAGTTCTTTGGGATGGACGTGAGAGGGATCAGGACAAGTTTAGAAGATGATGCAAAGGAAGGATACAATCTCGAAGGGCGAGAAATTCCGAATTTTTGCAAGAGTTTTACGAATTGAGCTTTGTGCGCGCCAAGACTTTGCTTGCGAGAGTGCAGCTGACACTATAAACACAAGCCAACGATGGAAGGTGTTGTGATCCGCCTCCTGGTGGTGTTCTCCGGTATAGTTTGAGTAGCCTGGGCACCTACTTCACTTGGAAAGGAGACACCCCAGATCACATTTCGCGCGGAGAAAAGTCATTTGATGATGGAAGCATGTCTGGGTAACTCAGGGTTTTTGGGACGTTTCCCTGGTTGGGTATTCATGGACGAGGGTTGACTTGGGGTGAAGAAAAAGCCGCCATAACTTCGCAGTGGTACTTGCAAATGAAATCCGAGGCATGAGTGCTCTTCCTTTACGTTGAATCCACCATTCTGTACTTCTCTTTAATATTGAATCATGGCTAGATAGCTGCATACGCAATTAAAATCTGATGCAAAAAAAAACGGCTCAAATATGAGTTGTGCTAGTTAGCAGGAGTTTACGGATCAAATGATGTGATGTTTTTATTGTTCTACCTGAGTCATAGACTATCTTGCACATTGGGCTCTTCTCTGACTCAGGCCAGACCTTGTACAGTAGTCCCTGCCTCTTATATTATCAAACTGTGGTTAGTTTGGGAGCGATCAATATAGAGTTTAAGGAGTTAGGTTTACATAGCTTGGAGTTACTTGTTTCGGAGAAAGGTTTTTCGCTTGGTTTGTAGCAATAAGAACTCTATCTGTTCTGACTAGAGATGTTTCGTTCCAAACCATGAGAAACTTGGTCCATGGTGACAAGTTGGGGACACATAGAGCATTTGCCATTTTCTAGACGTACACAATCTAGATAGTATCAGAAAGAGAAATGGTAGCCAGGAATTAATTGACACTCTTTACTTTTACTTCTTACATTATTCAATTGACTCGTAGAGTCTAACATATATTCCTTGAAAGATCTCTGACATATTGCTCGAGATGAATAGCCATTCAGCTCAGTGTTTACTCGTGGAATTCAGCCACCTTTTCCCCGGAACCTCCAACCCAAACAAAATAAAAATGGTAGCAATGGAAGCTGCGTGCGCGGGAAAAAGACTCAAAAATCCTGCAGCCCCAGCCAGGCGAGGCCCAGACGTCGGGATCACATGAAGTGCGCATATTCATCTATATCTCCCTTCTTTGTAACATTCGAGGCCGACTTGATCCAATCCGCCATCTCCGTATCGGGTGCTGGGTACGCTCCGGAAACTCATTGGATGGCTTTTCCTCCATGATCAAGGCTGGGTGATGAGTAGGACCCCGACCCTACCATCTGATCTGATCGTGGTTAGCTTTATGGTAGTGGTGATAGGGGAATGTGTTGAGAGATGAAGACGATATAGACGGCGAAAGCGATTGGGAATCCTCGTCGAAGTGAGGACTTTGTTATTCAACTTTGGCTCTGCAGACTCTACAGTGAGAGCTGGAGCTTCGTAAGAGACACCACTGACAGGTGTTGAGAACAGTCCCCCCCGTCACTCCCGGTACGGCGTATCCTGAAACATAGAGTTTGGCAGGAAACGAATTGATGGTTAGATTCGCTCGGAGCGATTCGAATGCAGTGGATAAGGTCACGGAAGCGTAAGATCGGGCGGATATCGTTGCAATTTATTTCGACATGCAAGGACACTTTAGGCAAGTAACGATGAACTGATGGAATTCATCTCGCCGAAAAAAGGTACTTGAAAAATGTATTTGGGATAAGTGCTAGGAGCCACGAGAAAATTTTCCAGCTTGATTAAGCAAACTTTGCTTAAATGCCGCCCATCTAAGCACGATGACTGGAGGCATGCCCTGATTGCTCGAATCGTGGCTCGGCCAGAATCCGCTACAAATGCTGCAGAAAGAAGTCTGCAGTTCACCTCTTCAACGGCGGAAAGAACTGGCCATATAGGGCCTTAAAGTATGAAGTATAAAATTCCGGCGCAATAAACTCTGCTATAACCATGCAGTCTTACACCATATCCTTAAAACAACCCAATCTCAAGTGTTGGCAATCATCTTTGGAGGTTTCAGGTTTCGTAAACGTTGGTGATGCGAGCCAGAGATGATCATGTTAAGCAATTGGTTTCCTTGCACTCGTCCAAACTACGATATTCATTTCACCTTCTAAAATACGTAGAAGCAGATCATATACCTATAGAGGTATTTAGCCTCATGAGCTTAGCCAGTGAAGGTTAACACTTAGTAGCAATATAAATACAGGGTATATTTCGCACCATCCGCCCGGCTCTCGTTTTCAAGATATACACTGACATATCGCTAATTTCTGTCCCCCCTATGATTGTAGGATACTAGTGTAGATAGACCTGCCGCTCATAATCATCAATCTATAGCATGGGCCATTTTCATATTCATTAGACCATCACTCGTCGTAAACCTTCAGTCCCACCAAGTACTCGCCTTCCGCTGACTGCACATCTCCCCATTCCACTCTCCCAAGTTCCTTCTTTCCCTTTCATAAACTCTACTTGCATTTCATGACTGCCTTCTAGCCAGCGATGAATACAACTATAACAAAATACCCAACCAGTTTGGCATGCTGTCGCCGTCTTTATTTCTTGCTGGCATATGGGACATAGTTCAGAGTCTGGTATTGACGTAACAGTGAATATAGGCAGTAGAGATTTCATGGCGATCGGAACCTTTGGTTGTGACACTGAAATATCGCATTCATATGGAGCCTCAGTCTGGCCGACCACAGATTTATTTGAAGCGATCTGATCAGTTGGCTTTAATCGAATGGCTGGGTCTGGTTGCACGGGAGGTGGAAGCACAATGCCTTCTGTAGCTTTACGAGATAGCTGACGTGCAAAGTCAGATGCATGCCACCACTCCAAAAACTTCAATGCAAATATGCTAGTCGGAAGTAGGATCTTTAAGCTCCCCAAGATTCGATCTCCAAGAAGTCCCGGATCCAGTAAGCTTCCGTTTATCTTTTTCTTCGGTTCGTCAAGTGCAGCAATAGCTCGAAAATCTGCCTCTGATAGTCTTCTCATTCTTGTTCCAATCAACCACAAGAAAGGCGAGTGGTATTTACTATTGTCAAACAAGTACGCAAGATTGAATGCTAGTGTAGAAAAGTAGTAAGCTGCATTAACACTGGGATATATATTTCGAAGAAACCATCGGTAGTAATGTAAAAATCTCTGCTTCATGGTCGGGTTCGCTGGCATGCGCGTGTAGCTTGCTCCCAAAAGAGCTCGCGGCGCGTTGACATCATAGCTCCAATCAAGTTTTCTCTTAAGGTATGGTAATCCTACCATTACAGCCAAGTTCTTCCATATATCTGCATTGGTTAATGCAAGCGCTTCGCGTACTTGGGAGGGCACTGCCATATTTGCGCGGCTGATCTCGCCCAAAGCGAGCGCTTTTTCACGCTTTAGACCGTAGAAGTTTTCTGTAAAGCCACCACCATATCTCTTGAGATAGTAACGCTCTACCAAGAGCATGAGGACGGCGTAACCCTCATCAAAAGAGTTGAGAAGACGCAGAAGGTGGCGTGGATATCGATTTGTTGCAACAGCAAGTAGATATCTGAGAGATGGAGGGAGAAGTGACGCTAGTTGCGCTTCGGATAATAGTTCGAAGAGAGACGGCTTGCTATCATCAAATGTCGAGTGGAGGGCGGTCATGAACTCCATCGTAGCCAGCGGGGCAAAAGAGGAGTACTTTTGTCATGCAACTGAAATTTTGATGTAAATGTTGGGTGGACATGGAAACGGCCTGGACTAAAATCCGAAGAGAAGTCTGTGTTTGCAGACTCATAATCAGCGAGTAGACTGTCGTTCCAGTTATCGGACATTGTAGCCTTAATTTGAATGAATGCCTGACAAATTAATCTTCAGGCATCTATCAATTTAATCGGGTCATGAGCCAGAATGCTATGTGTGACCACTGCTACAGGCCCATATTTAGTAGTGTGTATTTATTGTGCTACTTGAGTCTATGACTATCTAGCACATTGGGCTCCTCTCTGACCCAGGCCACACCTTGTACAGTGCTCCTATCCTCTTTTGTTACTCGAAAGATCATTGATATATTCTCCTTGATCAATAGCTATTCAGCTCAGTGTTTACCCGTGGAATTAAGCCACCTTTTCCACGGAACCTTCTACCCAAAAAAAATAAAAATGGTAGCAATGGAAACTGCGTGCGCGGGAAAAAGTCTCAAAAAACCTGTAGCCCCAGCCAGGCTAGGCCTAGACACCGGGACCACATGAGGTGCGCATATTCATCTATATCTCCCTTCTTTGTAACAGTCGGGGCCGACTTGATCCAATCCGCCATCTCCGTATCGAGCGCTGGGTACGCTCCGGAAACTCATCGGATGGCTTCTCCTCCATAATCAAGGGTTTGTGATGGGTAGGACCCCGACCCTACCATCTGATCTGACCGTGGTTAGCTTTATGGTAGTGGTGATAGGGGAATGTGTTGAGAGATGAAGACGATATAGACGGCGAAAGCGATTGGGAATCCTCGTCGAAGTGAGGACTTTGTTACTCAATCTCGGCTCTGCAGACTCTACCGTGAGAGCTAGAGGTTCGTAGGGGACACCACTGACAGGTGTTGAGAATAGTCCCCCTGTGTGGGCTAGTAGATTAATACCTGAGTGTGCCGCATATTTAGCAGGCATGCGACTCAAGTAGCAAATTGCACGTTAGATCTACTATGATTTGTACATGATTTGGGAATGTACACTTGCGCTGGAATGGCTAAGATAGTTTGTGGAGAGATATCTTCATTAATTTGCAGAAGTGAAGTTGCTATGGTAATAATTATGTTGCAGAATGGGTTAAGCTCGTCTCTTATCCCCTAGCTTGCTCGCTTGTAGACAGATCACGTAACCAGTATGCAGCTCGCCGAAGTGTGCCCCCAAATGAGCAGCCATGCCACTTGTCCTATATCAATAACTCATCTCTCATACTATTAGGAAACTGTGGAATCTGTCCTGTAGCAGGTGAAGAATATGTACAGTTATCAACAACTCAGTAGAAACAACTTAATTCTTCCTCCGGGTATCGGTCCCAGAAGTTATCACTTCTCTTGGTGGACCGTGCGTTCAACTAGCTAATTTAAAGTACTCTATGATTGGAACCAAAATAAGCAAATGTGATCAAAACACCAAATAAACCCTAGATACTGCCTAATGCCTAACACACACTGCACATAGTACTACTTGTAGTGCTGTTATGTTGCGACTGGGTATCCTTCATTCGCCATAATGCCAAACTGCTATAATAACTACCTATGCACTAGCTACTAGATCTACCTGTGACGGGCTAAGACTTTCGGTCAGTGCACGGAAGAAATGTCACGATAAAATGTTTATATTCTCTAAGCAGTTCAGGAGCGGGCAACTACAGCGCTTTATGACTACTAAAGCTATTCCGGATCCCTTGGCTTAACATGTGATATGCTAGTACTTCAGTAGGAGGGCAAGACTGAATACCTGTACGCGGTGTCCTCTACGAACCTGGGAGTGAAATATTCTCCCAGAGCCAAGTTCAGTCAAATTTCGCTATAACGAACAAGTTGGCCCACGAGGCAATGATTCGGATTACTCCACCACGTCATATTTTCACTCCCAAAGAGTCCGGTTCTCAACTAAGCTTCATCAAGTCTACAAGTACGACAAAGTACATCCTTGTTTCAATGACCATACCTCTTGTCGACTTTCTCTGGCCTTAGCTGGTCGCTAGATATATGCTCACGCCGATACTTATACCCGACGGAGGAAACAAAGCGTGGCGCAGAAATCTGGGAGACAGTTCTTTGGGATAGACGTGAGAGGGGTCAGGACAAGTTTACAAGATGATGCAGAGAATGGATACAAACTCGACGGGTGTGAAATTTCTAATTATGGCAAGGAGATTTTACAAATTGAGATTAGTGCGTGCCAAGACTTTGCTTGCGAGAGTGCAGGCGACACTATAAGCATCGCCATGGTTGGATGGTGCGGTGGTACATTGTCTTGGACGGTCTGCCAAGTAGAGTCTGGATAGCTTGGAAACATATCCCACTCGAGACAGTAGATGGCTGGTTCAAATCCAGCAAAACACAACCACCTTTCTCGCGGCGCTGGTATGCATGGATGACGAAGGCATGCTTGGATAATCAAAGGTTTCGGAATCCACTTTGGTGGGTACTAACGGAGGAGGGTCGACTGTTTGTGTAAGCAAGCATACCTCGTAGTGGTATTTGCGAATGAAATCCAGAGTATGAGTGTCTCTAACGTCAAAAGAGTCGTCCCACATGTATACATAGCACTGGTCATGTGTCATAGCTTTATAGATGAACACACATTAAATGATTTTAAAAAAAAAAGAAGATTTACCTACTGGCTTCGCCTACGAAACAAGGATGGGCCCTGTAGTCATACAGAGCCCAGCCAGAACCCAGCCGGGCCTAGCCCGTAACACTACCATACTACATAGCTGAGTATAATAAAAATCAACCCCAAAATGATGATACTAACCAAGTTTTATATGCTACGTCTTATATGGCTAGCGTGGATGGAAAACGGGGATTTACCTGTAGATAAAGACGTTGTAGCCCTATGATGTTTGGGATAAGCCTTCTAAAAAATATATGGGAATCAATCCTAGCCTCTAAATAAGCAATCTCATAAATAATTTCCAATATCTGTGATAACAGACGTCCGTATACAAAATCGACATCAAGTTAAAGTCGATAATTTGGGGACAAATCTGGGATACAGTTCTTTGGGATGAGCGTCAGAGAAATCTGTTTGTATTTTTCCGGATTCGAGCCAGCGATCTCCTGTCTTAAGTGGGATATTTTCGAAGCTATCCAGAATCTGCTTGGAAGACCGTCCCAGACGCTGTATCACCACAACATCCAACCATGGGTGTGTTTAAAGCGTCACGTTCACTCTAGCAATCGAAGTCTACTCATTCACAGCGCTCAATTTGTAAAACTGCTTGCCAAGATTATATCCATCCTTTTCTCTCTTCTTATACACTTGTCCAGATCTCTCTCGCCCACTCCAAACGTCTTGCTGCCGGATTTATCCACTAACATTTGTCTCCTATCGCTAATATTCATTACTTATGGGCGTGTATATAGAGACCATTCGAGTCCAGAGATTGATTTAACGAAAGGTGTGTGTCACAGATCAGATATAAAAGCAATGGGCAGTTGTGTAGAAGATGGTATTTTATATTTCGACTAATGGTGAGCTATCTAGGAAGTCGGACATGTATTTATACATTCCTTTTCATACTATCCTCGGCCTTCATTCCAGGAATAATCACGGCTTACTGACTTAGATACTTCTAGTAACTTCTCGTCTCGTCCCTGGAAGGATCTTTCTTCATTGCTAGAAGATTCCCACTCTTTCTAGGTGAAGCTAGATCAATTCTGCTCTAGTCTCGAATGTTCCACCAGAAAAATATGCCAAGTAAGCATATCTGGGAATCTACAAGAATATTCCTGATCATACCTCACAGGAGCCAAGAACTGTCTGCGCTAGCCAGCGTAGACTACAGGCATTACCCGGTTTACTAACCGTCACAGTGTGCTTATTGAAACGAGGATGTACTAGGTCGTATTTACAGACTTTATTAGCCATATTTAGGAAACGATCTCGTTGGCATGAAAGATAGATTTGGTTAGGAGTTGTGACAGATTGCCTCGTGGGCCGAACTTTTCGTGTTAAAATCTAACGCTTTTCATCCTCGGAGGGGTCTGTTAAAGTTATGAGCTTGAGCGAAGATGGAGGTTATAGCGGAATTAGTGTCGGAGGTTAGGCCGATATATTAAGTTTTTTATGAAGTTGTGATAGGAAGATTCGAGTGGAAACAATTGTATTGAGATGTATGGTTCTGAGTAAAACCGGGATTATAAGAGTGAGATTGCGTGTTCAAGTATTTTATCAACTGTGGTTTTTGACCGGTATTTATTAAGAAATAAGTTATTCTTGGCATTCCAAGATATACCATATTTCAACAGGGTCTCTTTTCAACACCTGTCAGTGGTGTCCCCTACGAACCTCCAGCTCTCACTGTAGAGTCTGCAGAGCCGAGATTGAGTAACACCTTATCAACTTTAAGCTGAGTTATCTCCCCCTCCGTCAAAGATACGCCTCCGATAACACATAAGACGACCACGATGACGATAATGATGCTGGGAATGAGGAAGGATAATGCGGTACCAAACGCTACAACGGTAGTCAGAGAAGCCCTTGTTATATCACAACATGTGCTACCCACCGGCGGGCGAACAAAAAGCCCACGAAAGCAAAGTAAAAGACCCTTCCGCCCTCAAGAAAAGCAGATTTCGACTCGTCTACATTATTGTCCCTACTAATCTATACCTTCCGAATCTACCAGCCAGGAGGGCATCTGAAATACATGAGCTACTCGACGACCCCGCGTCCGTAACGACTTTTAGATGCTAGGCTAGGCTCCTTCACGACTGTCACTCTCGACCAAGACTTTTCTGACATCCTTTCACGACCTACGATTTGTCCTGCGGCATGAATCAGGGGAGGAGTAAGGAGGAGGCTAGGAAGGTTGAGAGATACTCTTAGGTATATACAGGTCTGCTGCGCCCGGCTGGCCGGCCTCTTCGTCATAGGAGCCCCGCACCCAGTGGTTTTTGAGACTTTTCCCTGCAGCTAC